AGAATAGTCCCATAGATTTTGATATGTTAGCTGGTGAAGGACAATGCTCATCTGGTCCTCAAACACAAATTGTCCCTCATTATGGGGTTAATCCTAGAGGGCTGAAGCCTAACCAATTGTGGCAAATGGACATTACTCATGTTGCAGATTTTGGCAGGCAAAGGTATGTACATGTTACAATACATACATTTTCTGGCTTTATTATGGCTACTGGGCAAACAGGGGAAGCCACAAAAAATGTTATAACTTATTGCTTGACTTGCTTTTCCATAGCTGGGATCCCTAACATTATAAAAACGATAACGGCTCTGGCTACACCAGTCAGGGGTTCCAGCGTTTCTGCTTGCAATTGGGCATTGAGCATAGAACTGGAATACCGTATAACCCACAAGAACAAGGTATAGTGGAAAGAGCTCATGGTGCTTTAAAAACACAATTACAAAAAATAAAAAATGGGGAGTTATATCCCCAGACACCAAGTAATCTTTTACATCATACTCTTTTTATTTTAAACTTTTTGAATTTGGATAAAAATGACTGCTCTGCGGCAGATAGAATGTGGCACCCTCAGTCACAGGATACCTACGCCCAAGTCAGGTGGGAGGATCCTTTAGCTGGACAATGGAATGGCCCCAACCCTGTATTGATTTGGGGAAGAGGGCATGTGGATTTCTTTGGTTGTTTATGATTCTGATATGAAACTCAAGACTTCTTTTGTTGAGTTAAAATCTGCTTCTGTTTTTATTATTGGTGTGCCTTGGTCATTTTCTTATTGGATGTGTAAAGCTCCTTTGTCTATGTTTCAGGTTCTCTCAGATTTTATATTGGAGGGAACTGATGGCTTCAGATCAGCTACTCAGAAGCTCCTGAAGAGACCCAAGTCAGGCTCCAGACAGGTACACTCAGGCTTCCTTCTAACATCTGGACCCCTCTAACAAACACTCACAGCAAAATTTGGGAAGTTCACTAACGGGAAGCCGTATTTTGGCACTCTCAGGCAGTCCCCTACTGTAGGGTAGAGAAGCCTATCCTGGAAAAGTGGTAGGAGCCTCATGTGGTCCCAATTAGGGTTGGGCAGGGCACGATTTGGGGACATGAGAGGGGCTTCACATGGTCCCAATTAAGGGGTTGTGCATGACATGATTTGGGGAAGCTCACCACCAGGCATAGTCTGGATCCAGGCACTCTCAGGCACTTTGCTATAGTATCAACCCCTACTATAGGGCAGAGAGGTCTAGCCTTAGTGAAGTGGGAGGGACCTCATGTAATCTCGGTTTGAGTGCTGGGCACAGCATGATTTGAGGAAAGCTCACCACCAGGTGGAGGCTGGATCCAGGCAGTCTCAGGTGGTCTGCTAAGGTCTCTTGTAATATATTTTTTGTGATTCCTGTACAAAAACTTTGATAGTATACCTTCTCAATTGAGTGGTAGGCTGAGCTTTCATCACTGGTTCTGTGGTGATGTCCCAATTCTGTTTGTCATGTCATGTTGGGAGCTATTAATCTATTATGTACATAAGCTGTGGCAGGCTTGTTTACTGAGTTTGTGTTTTGCACACCAGTACCTAATCTGCCAAATCAGGAGGAATGTGTTTATATGGTGGAGCTCACAAAACAAGTATTTGACCACTCCTTGACCCTCAGATACAGGTGGGAAAAACAGCTGTTGAAACTAATTGAGTTCTTCTGTATAAAAAGGCGGAGCTGAAATAAACCAGGGCTGCAGTCACTACTGTCAGCCCTCCCAAGTATCTTCTCTGTCTCTTGTTTTTTCTTTCAATCCTCACTCCCCTTTTCAGGTACTGTCCATCTTGGCCAGCTGGCACCGGCATGTTAGATTTTTGGAGAATAAAAAGAAAGAGGAGCAGGAGACAAGAAACTAGAGCCAGATCTGCAACAGGCAATTGAATTGTTTCAAGAAGCTCAGCAAAGGGCTGAGAGCTCTTTTCCTCGAAGAATAATTATCTGTGCTCTGAATGGGGAGCAGTCTGACCTTATATAGGACCTCTTCTGCACACAGCTGGAAGAGTTAACTCTGTGCCAGGGCCTAGTATTCTTGAGGGTCTCTTTTCTCAGACAGATGAGTGAGTTATCTACAGCACTAAAGGAGATGGGTGGCCTTCACAGTCTCTCTCTCAGTCCAGGGAGTGACCAGTTGATAAGGCTTGAGCAAGGCCTTGCTTGAGCCAGGCCAGGCTGGCAATTTAGAGCCAGTTAGACACTTTAAGGGATTCATGACTTTCCCTAATGAGGCTTCTGGCTCTTTTGCAATTCATATATTCTATCATTCCAGACCCTGGGGGCATATAAAATAAAAAAGGGAGAGGGCAGAGGGTAGGATGGAAGGAGGGGCACATTGCTTTGGGGAAAAATAAGAAGATACAGGCACAGAGAGGAAAAACTGGATTAAGTCCTGGGTATGGGATATAAAGGTTCCATGAAGTCACAGCTTTTTGTGTCAATAAGGGAATCCCAATCAGTGACTAGTCTGGGCATCAATCACAGGTCACTTTGAAGATCCTTTAGCAGACTGAAGAGAGGATTTGGTCATCAAAGGTGAGACAGCTTCTCTGCAGAGGGCCAGCAAGGTGTTCATCTCAGAGAGCTTTTGGTTTCTGAGACGTTCTCAGGTGGCATGGAGCAGGAGCATAGTCTTAATTTGGTTTCAGATAGAGGCTTGGGCAGTAATACAGGCCGTTCAGTCAGAAGAATATGTAAAAAAAATACTTTTTGAGACAATAGTTAATTAAGCATAGTGTAAGGAAGGGATGAGAAGATGAGCTAGCCAGTCCAGTCCTTATCTGGGAAGAAAGTTGTCATTATTTTGGGGGGGGATCTTTACCTTAACTCATTTTCTGGAGAGGTAACACTAGTTGCCAATAGGGAATTTGGACATTGAGTCATTCTGGCTTCTTCTGTGCTGAACAGGGGCGAAGAGTGTAGCAACAGGAATACCTCTTCAGTGGGTCTATCTAAAAAAAAACCCAAAGGCTTATAACTGTTAGTCCATGACTGGTGTCTGGGAGGAGTTATGAAGGAGAAGTAAAACAAGAGTAGTTAGGCATTTACTTTAAGTAGGGAACCAGGAGAAATAAACGTCCACATTAAAGTTCATTAGAGTTTCTTGATGGGGTCTTCCAAGAGCATCCATTCACTGGGCCATTTTCATTTTCTGGGTGTTATGGCTGGCCTTAGGATTTGTTTTTCAGGCACTTTCTAGCTGTTGGGATGGCTAGAATCACATTTTGAGTTTTCTCCCAGAAGGCTTCTATAGGCGGGGAGAGAGAAGAAATTTAATTTTGATAACAATAGTGGACCTGTTCCCCCTTGGCTGAAGATGGCACAAAGTTTTAGTGGGAATTTGTAAACAATATTTTATATGAATTTTCAAATCTAATGTCTGGGAAGCATAATTTCTTGGACTTTAAAAGAAATATACTGAGTATTTTAATTTTTGGTTATACTTTCCTTTGGGGTGTTTAAAACCATACAGTGGGCCCAAATTAAACCAAGTTTTTGTTTTATTGTGAATGTCAGTTGAGGCTCTGGTCCTCAGGGGTCACTCAGGCTTTTGGGGGAGATCCTGGCTCCATTGGCTTTCCTTTTACCAGTTCCATCTATGTGAGGATAAGTCAGGAGGTCCTGTTTGATCCTGGCTTTGTTTGGAAGCATGGAAAAACATTTTCCTGTTCTGACCTTCCTTCTTGTAGACTGGACACTGGCTTGAGTCCATCTGGTGGGGTCTCCATGACCTCCCTGAATGAGAGGACAGGTGACTCATCACAGTTACAGGACATTTTTGAGCAATGCCTCATACTCCCCTGGGACTTAGTTGACCTTGGAAGGCAAGGAACCATAAATGTCAAGCCCAGTTCCCTTTTCCACAATCCCTCTCCCTGGCCCTATGGAGACAGGGTGCTCAGGAGAGAGCAAACCACCCAAGAATATTGAAAGAATAAAAAGCCTATATTCCTTCTCGGCAAACATATCCTCCTAAAACGTACACTCAGTCTACAAGAGTCTGTCACTAACCAAAGGATTCAAAGGGCCTTTGGCTAAAACTACCATGTGCACTACTGCTAACCCTCTACCATCTGAACTAGAAGATGGCTTTCCAGCATTTAAAAGAATTTAGAGCAGCTGTGGTTTTCAAGTGCAACAACTTCAATATACAAGCACGTGCACACACACACACACACACATACACACAGTGTCCCCCAAAATAAACATCATCAAGGTCTCTGCTAAATTATATACTCATGGAAACAAGGCTTTTGGAAACTTCCAGATTTTTAAGATTTTACATAGAGACTTCTATAATATAGTTACCAAGGGCCAGAATTCTAAGATTTAGCTAAGATTTTATGATTAAATCAGTACTTCAAAAATATATGCATTTACAAGAAATCCTAGACAAATGGCATATGATGTTTTGGCGTTTTAAAAACAGAGCCACTACAGCTTAATCTTGTCCTCTTAGGGAAATCTGACAATACCCCAGATTTCTGTTCCTTAATTGTTTAAATATATTTTAATAACCTAATAGATTTATAACCTTGACTAGTAAAAGCCAACACATGGACTGAAACCTCCTGTGGTTTCAGAGTTACAGATACACCTCCACTTTCCATTACAAGACTGTTCTAAGCTTTCCCTTTGTGTCCTAAAATAACCAAGAAGGAAAAGGAAAACTAACTGGATGTTGGTCTTGGTTTCTATGTCCAGCTCCTCAAGTTGGTCCACATTCCTTTCTTCCTTATTTTCTGTGATTATCCAAGTGCCACAAATACTAGCTAAAAAGAAAACCACTTCCAATTTAATGAGAGGCGCTGAAGAGTAGGTTAGATATATAGCTAAGCTGGGCTACCCTACCTCCTTCTACACGACTCTGCTCACTGATAGCCAGTTGCAGATCACATTTAATATCTGCGTGAGAAATGGCAATTTCTTCATTACCAGCTTTATATTAAATATTCAAGTGGACCACCTGTTGTACATTTTTTAAGCATTCCACTGGATTCCACAGTAATCTTTTTTAGTCCTCTTGGAAAGGCTCTTAATAAATTTCTCTTGATTGGTATTCTTGCTGCTTTAACTCTTGTTATGAATCTGGCACCCAGAAGTCATGAAGCTGCCCCTGAATAGGCAGACAGTTCTGGATTATTTCCTGCCATTTTCCATGGATCCTGGCGACTAAGTCACTTTAGTTCTGTTAAAAAAAAAAAGTCTTGCATCTTCTCTAATATCACATTTAGCATGCTTTTCCAAAGCCCCACAGAGCAGCATGAAGTGTTTCCATTGTCCAGAAGAAAAGAATAAGAACAACTAACTTCCCCAACTAAATGAAGGAGAATGTAGGTCAGGTAATACACCTGATTTTCATGTTCTAAATGAAGACTATCACCAATAGTTCCATTTGGTTCTTCAGCCCTTTTCTTCAAGACCATTTTCTTAACAAATCAGAAGGCTTCATTTTCACAAGATAGTGATGTAGGACTGATATCTGCAGATTCTTGGCATTAGGGACATCTTTATGTTTCTCATCAAAAGCTTTGAAATAATCACTAGATGGAGGCACTGTCTCAGTTGTCTTCCACATGATGTCCAGTTAGGGACTAGCTGAACCAACCACAGAAGGTTGTGTGGGTGACTAGAGAGTTCATTTATGCCCAGAGTTCATGCACCTTTGTGTTCCAATCTATGATGTTTTTAATGAGGTTTATAAGGAGGCTTTGAAAGTCTACTAAAGGAATCTGCTTCAGCTCCTTTTCCAAACTCATTTTAAACATCAAAATCAGCAACATTCTTTCCCAATCTTGGTATCCTTCTGGATATATACATGTACACAAGACGAGAAACTTAACCTTGTTTAAAATGTTGGTTTCAGGAAGAGTTGAAAAAACTGGATTACAAGGTGAGGCTTCTTCGCTTCGTCTCCCCCAGAGTGTTTTCTGGGTTTCAGAAATTAGATTAACTTCATTGAAGTCTGGCTGAAGAGTCTCCAGAGGAAACAAAGATCTAAAACCAATCCCCATGTTGAAAAGCACAGCTTCTATATCAGACAATGATGGGATCCAGGGCCAAATTGGTGACTCACTGAAAGTATCATTTCTAATGGTTATTTCCGTCAATGTACTTAAAATCTGCACTGACATAATACAATCTATATGAACTGACATCATCCAAAACAGCCACTTTAACACAGGTACAGGACACTGGACATAGTGGTATGCCATGGTAAGGAAGTCTAAACCCTGATACAAAAACCAGATAAATAAAAAAAAAGGAAAAGTGTAGGCCAACATCCTTGACAAATATAGATGCAAAACTTCTCCATAAAATACATATAGATATAAAGTGTACTTTAAACTTATTTCCTGTACTCTCTCGAACTTCCCTCATCCCATTAAGCCCTTTTATTCCCAGAAACAGTTTCATTTCCTTCCTCTTTCATGTCATATATAAATATATGATTTTATATGCCAGCATAAAATTGATGGTGATATCAAGAAGATCACTCACCATGATCAAGTCAGCTTCATTCCAAAGATGTAGGGATAGTGCAATATATTCAAATCAATAAATGCAGCACATGGTTGAACTCAAAGACAGTCACATGATTATCTCAACAAATGCAGAAAAGGCCTTTGACAAAAACCCAACATGTTCTTATGATAAAAGTCCCAAAGAAACTAAAATCAGAGGGAAAATATCTCAGTATAATAAAGGCTGTGACAGACTTGTGGAAAAAATACTCAAAACGTTTGCACTAGAATCAGGAATAAGCCAGAGGTGTCCACTTTCTCCACACTACATATAGTGTTTGAAGTCTTTTCTAAAGCAATAAGAGAAAATAAAAGTAATACAAATAGGAAAAGAAGGACTCAAAATATTATTTGTAGATGATATAATCCAATACATGAGATCCTAAATATTTCACCAGAAAACTCTTAGAACTGATAAGTCATTTTAGTCTAGTGGCAGATACAAAATTAACATAAAATAATCAACAGCTTTCCTAAACACCAATACAAAACATGCTGAGAAAGATTCAGGGAATCAATCCCATTCACAATAGCCTCCAAAAAACAAACAAACAAACAAATCCTTTGAAATAAGCCTAACAAAGGAAGTGAAAGACTCATACAATGAAAGCTCTAAAATGTTGAAGAAAAAGACTGTAAATCTCAAGACTGGAAATAACTAAAAAAAAAACCTCTCAACTAATTCTCTTGATGGGCATCTTCTCTGCATTCAGTTCTTATTGTCTGAGCATCATCATCTACTTAGAGAGAAATCTACTGATTAGGATAGCTATGATGCCCCGGCCCCCGTTGAGTACACACAGCGTATATTTATAGTGGGCTCAGGGCGGGGGAGGTGGAAGGCGGGAATAGAGAAAAAGGAAGAGGGGCTCTGGTGGAATTTTCCACTAAGGGCTGATTGTCAAAGAGGGGCAGAGGGGGTTGTCTGAGAAGGCATGTGGTTAACATTTCCCAGGACTAACATCTGTAGTAAATATTTCTCAAGGCTGACTTGACCTGGGTCACAAAGTTGTTTTTCTACATTCTTTAACTAAGTGCTAACTTATAGAAACTTACAGAAAACCATAAAGCTGTTTTTTCTCAAGGCCATAAAGGTTTGCAGGAAACCATAAAGCTGTTTTTTCTCAAGGCCATAAAGATTTGCAGGAAACCTTAAAGCTGTTTTTTCTCAAGGCCATAAAGATGTTTTACTTCTGGCCTTTTGGCTCCCAACATCTCCTCTCTTTTAATTTATTAGAACAAATAACCAGACTCCCCCTGTGAGGACGCCCGGAGGCTTCCTCACTGTTTTTGTTCTTGGTACTTTTGGGGAGGCGAGGCAGAGCAGATGTGGTGGTCTCATGAGACCTATGCCGAGTGACTGTGCCTGTCTTAGGTTGGAAGGTATCCACTTGATGCTTACCCGTCATTGGCGACAGCAGCAGTGATAGGCTACCTGCCTGTCTTAGGTCGTTATCAGCGGAACCTTCTCTTACCTGTCTTTGGCTGCCAGTCAGCTTGTGGCCTGTATGAATTTTATTATGTACCAACCTCTTGCTAGTCTGGTTTTTGATGGAAGTGAGAGGGAGTGGGGCCTAAGAAGGCCGTTTACAAGTCTATAGTTGTTGCTGGGGGAGATCTAAGTGATCTATCATAAGCTGGACCATCAGGATTTGTCATTTCCAAACGTTGGTAATGAATTTGTATTGGCTTAGAGAGTAGTGAATCAATTTGTTGTTTAATAAGCCTAGTAAGCCTATTAAAGGCCCAAGGTCCAAAAGAAATTAAAAGTAATAATCCTATTAAGGGGCCAATTATGGCTGGTAGGAGAGAAGTGAGCCAAGAAGGGCCCGAGAACCAGCTTTCATACCAGGGTATTTGTGAATCTCTTTCTTTTTTTCTTTTGTCTAAACTTTCTCTTAAAATTTTCATACTATCCCTTACTGCCCCTGTTTTGTCTATATAAAAGCAGCATTCTTCTTTTAGTGCTGCACATAAACCTCCCTGTTGTAAAAATAATAAGTCTAGACCACATCGGTTTTGTAAGACTACCTCAGCCAAAGAAGAAAGGGAGACAGCTAAGTCATCTATGCCTTGTTGTAATCGCCAGACATCTTCTTCAATGGCAGCTTGCAGGGCATCAAACTTGGAGCTGCTGATCAGGAGGGAAGCCACACCGGTTCCTGTACCTGCTGCACCTAAACCTAGAAGGACTGAAATTGTGAGGGCAGAGACTGCTTCTCTTTTAGAACGAGGATGGTTAGTGGGAGGGTCCCAAACTTCTAGAAAGGATTGAGGAGTATGGTAGGAGAGGCGGGGAATGAGTTGTATCAGCAGACAGAAATCACTATGCTTATAAAATTGTTGAAGATATATGCAAGGTGTAATGCCATCCTTACAAACCCACCATGAATTTGGTGGGGCCTGTATTATACTAGCATTTTTGTGGGGTATAATAGTGGAATTACAATATGGTTGATACAACATAGAAGATGTAGTATCTGTGGACAGGCATGTACCTTGCCCTACAATGCGGGCCAGGGTCAGGCCCTTAGAATGTTTTTCTGGCCATGGACAATTGTAAGAATTATTTGAATATTTAAGATTTTTTGAGAGGGGAATGACTATTCCCTCATAAAAGGGTGGTTGAGAATTTAAACAAAGCCAGCAGTTACCTAGGGAATTATTTATAGCTTGATGTGTTGCATTAAGCAATTGTAATATGACATTTTTTGTATGTTTTAGGCTTGCCAGGGGAGGGGGGACATGGGCCATAGGTATAGAAACAGTGGCATTGAAGGATACAGGGGATAAAGAGATATTAGTAGTAGAAACAAGATTTTTGGCTGGAGGTGGTTTGGTAGGAGCAGGAACAGGAGGAGCAATTAAGACAGGGTTAGGTCCTATTGGAATAGGTTTATGTTGATTAAAGGGTTCTTTGAGAAGTTTAATTTTAAATGTGAGTCCATCATCAGGGCCGTCTTTATACAGAGCGAGCCCCCAGGAATATCCGTGTTCCCAATCTGTGGCTTGCTTCCCTGGTTCAGTAAAAGTAATTTTTAGGGTATTGCACCATTGGTTCTTGCAGGTGGAGGTCACTAGAGTGTGCCAGAGGTCGGCACTGTATTGGGGGATGGAAGTATTGTATTGGACGTTAATATAGTCCCATGAAGATGAGGGTTTCCAGTAGGTATCCCCCATGGTCTCACATCCCCATGAATGACAATAGAAGGAACCGGAACCTCCACATGTATATTGAGCTTGTTTGGATCTATGATTGCCTGGGCAGACATAAAAGGGCTGGAATTTAAGCCCTGCT